AAAAAAAAAAAAAAAAAAAATTGCTGAAAGGGTGTCTTTTTATATACTTTTTTGTTATCCAATATAAAAAACAGTTTTAAAAAATGAATTTCCTGGTATTTGGACTATGTAAAACAACTAAGCGTAAAATCATTTGAAAAAGTTACTAGTACTTCGTCACTATTTGCTCATTTATAAAGCTAAATATTGCTAAATATTCCAGACCTCAAAATTGCGATATGAGACCAAATCCAAATAACTATAATTACAGCCATTCTCAATCACACGCGCCCTCTAGCGATTGTTTCTGTCGCGACATGAATTAATTTCTAAATGCCGCCACGAGAACAGGTACTACTTAATGAACACCYAACGGTTTACTCTTTAATGAACGCCTAACGGTTTACTTAATGAACACCTAATGGTTTACTGCACACTCACTGTAGTAACTGTTTAAATTTAATATTGATTTATATATCTTTTTATAAAATCTAGAATAACTTGTAAATATAAACAATTATGATTTGTTATATTCATTTCTATTTAAAGTGTGTGAATAAATTGAATTGAATTGAATTGAACAAATCCAGTGAGCCGCAGAACAATAGATATACATTGTCTGTCGGATGATCGCGTAAGCGTGAAACTCAGAGTATAGACTCAAGCATCCAGATTTATTAGAGTTTTTCCGCACAAGTACCTTACACATGCTAATGTACATTTCTTGACCATAGGTATAGTAATTCTTTGACACCCTATTGTTTTAGAGTTGATAAGATTGATGATAGCACAACGTACACCAAACTTATGTAAACAGTTATAAAATTCGTGCAGTAGGCGGGGTATCTTGAAAAGGGGTACTACATAGGACGTTCACGATTGTCGCAGTCCTATTCCTGTAGTCATCGTTTAATCAAACGAAAGTATGTCACTGTGGAGACCCTATGTCGATGATTTGGACAAAAGCAATGGCCATTCAAACCCAAAGGGAAGCCGTGTGAAGATACACCAGTAGGGAATCATGAAAAAAGCATTGTCAAGTCTGCGTACATGGCCTGCAGCTCACAACACTGAAGGAAGTACAAGAAATCATCGACGAAGTCCCTTTGTCTTCTCGTCTAGTGGACTATTATCTTGAAAAAGATTCAGCCACTGCCATTCGCCGCCTGAAGAGAATCGTGAGAGAGGAGTTGAAACATGAAGCGGTAGCGAGAGCAAATAAAGAGGATGCAAGCCGGGAGAGAACCAGACAGTGAAAGAGCGTAACGGAACAAGTTCAATAATACTTGATGATCAAATGAAATACGCCAAAAAAAGAACACCAGAGCAGCGAAGACGAGAAAAGATGGCCGAGTTTGTCGAGGACGCGTCTACAGGTGAATCGGGTGATGAGCAACCGGCTAAACGGAAGAAAAGCTAGAAAGAAGCAACCTATGAAGCCCAAGAAGCCTATGTGTGAACAGGCCACGATGAGCAAGGGTATCATGAATAAAGCATGAGCAAAGCTAGACAAAAAGCTTGAGGACCTGTTGTTTTTGAATGAATTAAATCATAAGTTTTTGAAGCTTGTAGCTTTCATTGTTATATAATCCCCCTTGCTAGCAAAAATCTCGGCTAACTCTAAAAAAATTGGGTGTCAAAGAATTATCATACCTAACAAGAAATGTACATTAGCATGTGTAAGGTACTTGTGCGGAAAGACTCTACTATTATTGTTAAATAAAAAATAGATTTTGGTGGACGCCAATCAAAAGGGTTTCTATCGTATCTATTGGTTTCTACAGCAAGACCGACGTGACTCGAGCAAACACCGTTGCCCTTATCTCATACTTCTTGAATACCAAAACTGAAATTTTCGTTTGTGATAGAGGTCTCGTTGGTCGCGTGACTGGGAATCGCAGTAAAGCATGTTGCCCAAATGTTATGCTAATCAACAACACATTTTTTCACACTTAAACCACGCTAGTGATTTTCTTTGTTTTGTTCTCACGAATTATTATTGAGTTTGACAGGTATCTTAGATTTTTTGGAAAAGTTGGTGTAGTGATTGCCAATCGCAGTAAATTTAGTCCAATAATTATATGAGTTCGAGAAGCCATATGAGATCGGTGCTTTAAGAGACGTTACATTTCCCAACTGATTAGTATTTATGAACTTTTAGAAAAGTACGATAGAAGGCTCTACACTAGAATTCACCATCCACTGTTTTCTCTACTTCCTACAATAAAAAAATCATCAAGCAGAGGCTTCGAACAAAAACCTCTCAAATGCCCTTAGTAAATACTGAAAGATTTAAAAATAGTTTTGTAAATAAGGCTACGTTTTAAATATAATTTAGCAGAACAGTTTTAGTACCTATTTTAGCTTTTCGTTTACTTAACTTTTATCTGTACTTACTATTATTATTAATATAGGTTTTTATTTTATCTGTACTTGCTATAATTATTAATATAGGTTTTTAGATTTTCATAGATTTTATGATTTTTTTTACTATTGTTGTAACCTTCAATATGTCGTTTATTGATTGAATWAAGACCCATTATTATTATTATTATAATTATATGTTTATTTCAACTTCAGACATTTTTGCTACATGAATACAGAATATTGCGGGCATGAATAGTCTAAGCAAATATCTGCAGGACTGGTTTTACAAAGATGTATACAAATTTAACAATTGTACAGACGTTTCACAATCTCTGACACTTACAATTTTTAGACCATCAGTGAGACCTACATCAGCCAGTTTTCTAATCAAATCCGTGGGATACCCAGATAGAAAATCAAATGATTATTATTATTAAGCACTCTATCCAAACACCTTCAAGTTGGTCAATAACATTTCTCTGATTTCTTGTATTTTCAATATGCCAAATAAACCATAATATTGATCCAGTAAAAAATACTCTTCTTATTCATTTATTTTGCTTCTTAGTGAGAGGAGTTAAACTACCTTTGTATGTATTCCCCTTAATTTAGATAAGGATAAATTAATTTGTAACAAAACTGCGTTAGCTTTTTCAAGTCAAAGTAATGCCTAAACGTTTGTATGTTCTTAGCTACTAGTTTTATTATATGAAATGGCAGAGGACCCGCATAGTTCACGAGGCAAAGTCCGCTTATAGATCTATCGCGAGGAATAATGTTTAATTGACTCCAGAAATTCTCCCAAACGCTCTCCATGCTCGTCCGTCCCTGATGAGAGATGAAGCACTGAGGAGCTAAAATTACATGAGCTATATTTATAATAAATCTATGACAGATGTCAGTCTCTAATCAATGTGATAATATCGTCGAATAATGATTGGCTAAAATAATAAGAGTGAAAATCTTGGAATTAACCATAGCTTAAACTAAAGTTAATATATGAATATATTGTAAATGTATAGAAAAGGCTACGAGGAATATTTCTATTATAAGATTCAAAAGAATAGTGCTAAAATAACTAAGCAAAGGGGTAAAAGTTGTTTAGGGCGTAAACAGAGCTACACATGCTAATGGGAGGAGCTAAGAGGTTTACTTGTGAATTCAATGCTTACCGTTATTTAAAATTGTGCGTGATGGTAGCCTTACTGAAATCTTAGAGTGAAGGTATTTAACCCGTGAAATAAAAAATACTAGTTAACGTGTAATAGTCAAATAGACACAAAATAAGACAATGGAATTAGGGTCTGCTAGTGTGTATTAGTCTAATATCTATTTCACGGGTTTGATGACTTCACTCTATATCGATACTTTTATATAGCTAATTGATCATGCTTTATCTTGTTTTCATAAGATAGTAATGGWAATTAGAAAACTGATGTCTTGCTTAGTTTGTCTGTAAAAACATTCATTTTCTCTCTCATAAAACGAGACAAGAAACTTGCTTTATTTCTGAAGTATTTGACAGGAGAAACATTTCTCATTCATATATATATAGTAGAAAAATATTTCAATAAAATGGTATCATTCTCAGTGAAAGGGGTTTATCTAAGCTTGCATTTGACATATTTTTACCGCTACCCGAGAAAGGGCGTTCTTTGTAGTATCTGATGTATGTGCTTTGTTGTAGACTTTGCAGAACGAAACTTCCCTGCTAGCAGAGTCCAGCTGAGCAGAGTCTCTCCTTGGCGATTCTTGGCAGAAAAATTTCTCTCTGCCAAGAACCGTCGACGAGGGAGACATTACATTACGGCCGCACCAGAGGTATAAATACCATCGACTGTCTCTCGTTTTCTCACTGGACTCTGAAGATGACTTCTGCTCAGGTTGTCGAAACGTCAGTCACCAACGACAGTCTTTCTCAAGACTACACTCACCTGGACGATCACACCTCACAAATAACTTCAACACCTAGGTTCAAACCATTTACTCTTGGGGGAAACTCTGCTAGCAGGGAAGTATAAAATGAACGGTTTGTACCAAATCTGCTTGCGACTGAGAACTGATGGATGTAACTTCAAAATTCAAAAAAGAATGTATAACTAATTTTGAGAATAATGATGATGATATAGGTTTGAACAGGTGAATAAAAAGCAGACTCAAATCATCATCATTATCTAGTTCTGATTTGATATACTAAAGGCCATGTTACACGTTGAAACTTTAAGCAGAAACGTGCTTGCAACAGCGTTATGTTGTAAGGAGCATTGAAGTTATCAACAGCACAATTTTCGAAATTGTTGCGAAACAAGTGGTAACAATCAACGACTGCGTCTCAGTTATTCCAAGAAATGTTGTAGAGCAAATTAGGACTTCTGTCAGAAAGTTTCACGAAACTGAAGTAGAACTGCTTTCTACACTAGTTCAACCGCATTTTGCGTCGCGAATGAAGTTTCAGGGCGAAATTGCACCTTGAATCACCTTTCGTGATTGTCTCTCAACGCCGTTGCACGCAAGTTTCACTGAGCTGAAAGTTTCGACGTATACACATGAACACGGCCGTTATTACCTGAAGGAAAAGGGTAGAACCACAGAAAGAACGCCAAAGAGACCACCATTAACTTGAGTACAAAGAAAGACCTTTTATAAAATCGCATTTTGAACCTTTCGATTATGGCTGAATCCTGAATTACGTGAGTTCGTATACACCGAATTGAAATATTGGCGACCAATTTGAATATTCCTTGTTCTGCACTAGCTACCCTTGTGTTCACGTGGAAACATGAAAGCGTTTTCGCATGAATGAGAGGCTAGCCAGTTTCAAACTATATATAGTTATTGAAATTGGTCGCCACATTTCGATTCGTTGTATGGATCAGAAAATGTAGACAAACGATAAAGAACTTTGTACAGACATCAGTAGCACTGAAATGAGTGAGACAAATTTTAATTCGCCCAGCTGAATTAGCATCCATACTGGTGCTTGCTTTATGCCACAGCAGGGGCCGAAAACCCAATGAAGCATACACTGGACAATATTTATAGGATTCAAAATCTGAAAAAGCACTCCAAGGTAATGTTCTCCTAAGTTAAAGTGGCCTCTTTGATTTGATCTGAGTTATCGCGGTTGATGCTCAAGTTTAGTTAGCTAATAATTGCTTTCCAAGACCATCACGTTTCCATGCTTTGTCTTTTCTTCGGCCTTCTTTTGTCTCTTTTTGTTTTCTTCGGTTCATTGCGTCACTTCAAATTCAACATTCCTTGCAGTAAGAATTTGAGTTTATCCGTTGTTTGTTTGTCTCCCCTTCGTTTGTTCCACGAGATTTTCAATTATCTATTTTACAACGTTTCCTCCAAAAGTTAAAGTTCGTCATTTCCCCCCCTCTTCTATAACATTCATGCTCTCTTCTTTCTTGTTCTGCCCTCTTCGTCGCCTCCGCGACTTGGAGCTAACTTCCATTGGACTTGCTAAACTAACCTCATTTATTTCCTCACTCGGATTCAACCTCGAGTGTATTTCACATTGATTCGAACTTTTGATCTCCTTTTTCCGTCTTCCTTGTTTTTTTCTATCTACCTCCATTCGATCTACAAGTTTTTTGTTCCTCTCGCACTCGGCTTTTTCTTCTGCCGTTTTATCATCAGTAGTGTCCTTCAATTCTAAATTATTTTTGATTAAAGCCATCCTGTCAACTCGAGGAAGCGTTGTCGTAAGGTCAGGACGAATATCTATACCCAGTATTTCTGGTAACATGTTGACTTTTAACCAAGCAACTAATGGCGTACGCCCATGGACGTAATGAGTCCGTTTATGGTAAAACAACAACCCATCGACCTTAAGACATATAATGATTGAAAAGCATAAGGTAGAATCGATAACAAGGGTACTAGATGAATATATTAGGAGTATACTTTATTGCATTTGTTGCGCTTGACTTGCAGAATACTATTGCCATTATCATCACCATCATCATCACTACCATCACCATCACCATCACCAGCACCATCATCACCACTACCATCACCATCACCATGCTCATCACTACCATCACCAACACCAACACCATCATCACCACTACCATCACCAACGCCATGTTCATCACTACCATCACCAACACCATCATCACCACTACCATCACCAACACCATCACCAACACCAACACCATCATCGCCAACACCAACACCACCTTCATCACTACCATCATCATCACCATCACCTTCACCATCTTCATCACTACCATCACCAACACCAACACCAACACCAACACCATCACCACTACCATCACCATCACCATTATCGCCAACACCAACACCACCACCATTTTCATCGCTACCATCACCATCACCTTCACCATCTTCATCACTACCATCACCAACACCATCACCACTACAATCACCACCACCATCTTCATCACTACCATCACCAACACCACCACCATCTTTATCACTACCATCACCATCACCAACACCATCATCA